ATTCATACCTGCATTATGAAAATAATTTTTAAAGTGCTTATCAGTTAAATTAGTTTTTTACCCCCCATCCAAATCATTGAGTGAAATTAATGCTTCTAAAAGTTATACTGTGTTAATCTCATGGCTTCTCAGAGATGTTGGCATGTTGCTACTGCTGTGAACAGAATTATTCAGAGGTAAGACTAATCCATATGAACTGCATGAAAACATGGAGGAAATTATATAACAGCCAAAATATATGCTATGAATAGTGATTTTAATGGAAGAGGAGGCAATGTCATTAGAAGGCTGGATTATCAATGTCTCAAAAATAACTTATTCTTTAACTCAATTAAAAAAAATATTTTTTCTTTAACCAAGTTGCATTACAAAAAAAGCTATGGCATTAAAAATGCTGTATTACCAGATGTGGTGGCTCACACCTGTAATCCCAGCACTTTGGGAGGCAAAGGTGGGCAGACTACTTGAGGCTAGGAGTTCGAGACTAGCCTGGCCAACATGGTGAAACCCCATCTCTTCTAAATATACAAAAATTAGCTGGGTGTGTGGTGGGTGCCTATAATCCCAGCTAACTGGGAAGCTGAGGCAAGAGAATTGCTTGAACCTGGGAGTTGGGGGTTTCAGTGAGCCAAGATCATGCCACTGCATTCTAGCCTGGGCAATAGAGGGAGACTCCACGTAAAAAAATAAAGGTAAAAATAAAAAATAAAATAAAATGCTGTATTAAATTAATAGATGCATCTATATACAAATGATGGTATTTTAGGCAGATCCATTTTATGAAATTTAATATTTATATGATTACTAAAGTATGGTTCTTAATTTCTTTTATAGAAATGGAAGCTTGAAATACATGATATCTAATAATCAGATGGCAAAGGACAATCCGGATGAAGTCGGATTCTGTTACTGTGATGTTTAATTTTATGTGTCAACTTGGCTAGACTCTGGTACCCAGTTGTTTGATCAAACACCAGTCTGGATATTGCTAGAAAGGAACATATTAGATGTAATGATAACTTCTCATCTGTAGACTTTGAGAAAAGCAAATTATGATCTTCCATAGTGTAGATGGGCCTTATCTAATCAGCCTTAAGAGCAAAAACCAAGGTGTCCTGGAAAAGAAGCTCTGCTTCAAAGGTGTAACATACAAATGCTGTCTAAGTTTCCAATTCTGGCCTACTCTGCAGATTTGAACTCAATACTGCAATGTCAACTATAACTAGAATTTCTATGAGCCCACCCTACAGATTTCATACTTGTCAACCACCATAATCGCTTGAGCCAATTCCTTAAGATCACTCTGTCTTTTTCTCTCTCTCACTCTCCTATACCCTGTTTCTTCTGTTTCTGTAGAGATCCTTGACTAATAACCAAACTACAGCAGAAAAAAGAAAGTTTTAAGAGAACCGTCAGAGTGAGTTTCTAACAGTGGAAAATCTTGTAATAGCGTTCATAGTACAAATGATATTTCAGCGTCTAAAAGTTCTTAATTCCGCAAGCACACCCAGGACAATATTAACCCGCCTCAAAATTGGCTATCATCTTCTTGCCTTCCTGGAAGAAAGTTACATTGGTTGGTGTGCTAATTGTACCTTATGTTGTGATGCTGCTGGACCATTGCTTCGCTCTTAATTATTTACAGACGTGCCTTTTTCTGCTGGACTGGGGGCAGGGACCAGGTCTGTATCATCTTTGTCCCCAGACTGCCCAGTACAGTGGTACTTAATAAATGTTTACTGACTGCATAAGAACATGGTTCTGATTTAAAATGGGATATAATAAAAAAATTGATATTAACCAAAATAAAAAGTGTTTTTTGTCATGTTTGCTAGAACATGCATTTTTCTTTTAAAAAAAAAAAAATAACATTATTTGTTTCTCAGTTAAAAGGAGAGCAAATCTTACAAAATTCAATCTGATGCCATGTAATCATTTGGAGTCTTTAACGCTATTTTCATGTAAGGAAAATAAAATTAGAAATTGAAGTGATGTTTCTGGAATGTGGTAAGGTAAAAATCACCTTTAAGTGGAGTTGTTGGATATATCTAATTTGGAACTATTTCTTCCTCAGATGATTGATGTTTTAACATTTTTTATAGACCTGTGGGCAGTTTCATATCTAGTTTTAGGAGGGGGAGAATGTGGACCCATGGTAACTGGCAAAAGTTGCATTTAATAGTGAGAAGCCTCTATCAGAATGTTATGTATGTTTTGCATCCAAATCCTTGATTTCAGAGTAGAACTTTCTGGAGCAAGGTGAGGAAAAAAATGTGATCCTATCTTTTTCATTTAAAAGCAGCTATACAAAAAATAAAGTCATCTACCCCTTGCGTTTAACAGAGTGAAATAATTATAAATCCTAGGGTACATAGGACCTAAAGAATGATGATAAAACTTCTAGTTCTGTTTACTGACCAAGATGATAAAACTTCTAGTTCTGTTTACTATATTTTGTCCAAGAAATCTACTTTTACTTCGATTTCTTAGTTGCCTGTTTCTTGACAACATCTGGGATAAGCTACAGAGGGCCTGGCTTCTGGGTTGAGATTGGTGTTTCCCTTAAAAGTTTTATGTTGCTGAGCATGTTGTTATCCTCAGCACAACCTTTCTTGATGATCATAATCTTTTTTTTTTTTTTTAGACTGAGTTTTGCTCTTGTCTCCCAGACTGGAATGCAATGGTGCCAACTTGGCTCACTGCAACCTCTGCTTATTGGGTTCAAGTGATTCTCCTGCCTCAGCCTCCCAAGTATCTGTGATTACATGCATGCACCACCACACCCAGCATGCACCACCACACCCAGCTGTTTTTTTGTATTTTTAGTAGAAATGGGGTTTCACCATATTGGTCAGTCTGGTCTTGATCTCCTGACTTCAGGTGATCCACCTGCCTCAGCCTCCCAAAGTGCTGGGATTACAGGTATGAACCCTGCACCCAGCCTCAGAAGTCTTTTTATTTACTCCATTGGGTACACTAGAGGAGCCTATCTTCATTTACTCCTATGCTTATTCTAATTCTGCTCATTCTCCCATCTATATTTTAACTTATAATATCAGCCTGACATCCATAATACTCCTCACTGTCTTTCCACCTGTCTAAAGCTACACTTCCCTTGGTCTTTTCTAACATCTCAAAAACCTTCTCTGATGCATGTAGCTTGCAGAATCGTATCTGTCTTGGAAAAAAATATGGCACATATATGTGACTTCATGTATTGCTTGCTACTGTCACTCCTGCAATTTTGCTTTAGCCACCCTGGCCTCTTTGCTGTTTCGTGAAGTAACCAGGCAGACCTCAGCCTTAGGACTGTTCTATCTGCCTGAATTGCTCTTCTCCAAGAATTCTACATTGCTCATTTCCTCACCACCTCCAAGTGTTTGATCAAATATCACCCCCTTAGTGAAGGCTTCCTTGACAGTTCCATTTATAAATGGAAATTGGTGGGCAGTAACTTTGAAGATGGCTTCCAATGAGCCTCTTCTGCTCAAACTCAAGTTCTTGTGTAAGGTCAAGTGATGAGTTTTACAAATTTAACAAAGAAAGTTAACTGGATTGTTTTGGTCCAAATATTTACTTTTCATGCCCTTTACATATTTTGCCACAAATTATATTTTTTTCCATTTCTAATTTTCAATGAATTTAGATCCAGGTCTTAACTTGTACTCACCACTAGCCTATATAACAGAAGAAACATGTATTTTTCAATCCCCTTGAAGACTGTTGTTCTCTTCCAAATTGAAATTCTTGGTTAGAAAAATGCATTAAAATAGAATATTAAATCCCCCTCCCACTGCAGTCTTTCCTTCCAGTTTCAAATGCTGTCATGGTCTTTTTATGTATGAGACTAATAATCTTAGATTTGTCCCAATTATCATGTTCTAAAAACAAACTTAAGCAGGATTACATCTCTTAGTTACCCAAGCTCTCTTTCTCTCTCTCTTTTGATTTGAATTGAACTCTGGACCTTGTTCACTTTTAAATTCATTTTGGCTGAATTTCAGGAATTCCTTAAATGTATTCTGCAAAACAGCTGTGGTTTGGGTACTTCATGTTCCTTTATTGGTTACAATCTGACATAAAGAGTGGCTGATCTCCATTTTCCATACCAAAGTAACAAAGTCGCATTCAAAAATTTTTTTCAGATCTTAAGGATCCGGCTCTCACTAGACATAAGAGTAACATTTAGCAGAAATACTCCAGCACTCTTTTTCTAAAGACTGTTCAGTCCATATAATACACATAATAAAATTCATCTGGCTTATAGAAAAGTTATTGTTTTACCTAAATATACCAACAAGTAAAACCATTCAATAATATATGTTAGAGAATGCATGGCAACCGAAGGGCAAAGTTTTACAAGCTCACACTTTTCTGAATAAATACTCAAAAACAAAGCTTCAAGATTTTAATTGATAAGAAAAAGAGCTTCAGAGAGATTAAGGTGAAAACAAAGGGAGAAAATTCTTCACTTCCAATTTATGTCAGAATAAGTCTAGAAAAACAGCTCTTTAATTTCCTTTCAATGATTACATACAACTCTAAAAAAAAACCCTATATGTTCCCTGAGCTTTTTAAGGGAGAAGGTATAAAATAAATATTTTTTCATATTTTCAGTTATATATTCATAAGTGCATACAGGATGCAATACTCTGGTTCTGAAAGATATTATAGAATATTCCATATGGTCTGAATATAGTAAAGTCACTTTTAGGCATTTACAAATAAAATAGCAGGCAAGGGCTATTTAACAGACTCTGTAAACACCAACATGAGACTACTTTTGACCAAAGCTTCAAAAGGACTTAAGGAATGTGACACACTGTTTGATTCCTACTCAAAGCACTTGGATAAAAAAATTAAATTATCTTAATTGCACTTAACTGATCTTTAATATTTACATTTGCTGGAAACAGAGGTGCTGCTCCCCAAATACAGATGCCAGCAAGAGCAAAACATAGGCTGAATGACATTGTGTCTGTAGCAATAACAGCACTTACCTTTATTCGCTCTCCCCACAGAGAATCTATGAGCTGGGTGCTCTCAGCTGGGAATGGCAAGAATGCTTTTTAGTTAATAATAAAGGAAAGAAAAGCTCCAGACACCAAGAACCTGGGTTAACCATTGACACTGGTTTGTTCCTACAGTTCCTCCCTGGGAATCTACATAGGTAGCTCCTGGCATCTTATCAAGGAAGCCATAGCCAGTCAGCTGTGGCAGCGATTACCTCACCACCTCTGGAGGAGGTACAGTGTGAAGGTCACCCAAGTATATCCTGACTAAGTTTTTACTCGATTAGGGATACAAAGGAGGAAGATTTGCTAGGCCAGAAATATGCTCAATGATGCCAGTAAGTGACTCAAATATTTACAAACAGGATTGTGGAGAGACGACCTGTGGAAATGCTCGTGCTAGTTTTCAGACTCTGTTGAAGCAGTACTAATAAATCCTTTTCATCAGAACTCTTTGTCTACATCTTAGCAGCTGAGGATTGGGATTGCACGCTGATGAAAACCGAGACAGGTGAATGATGGATAGACAAACATCCATTCATTCTTTATTTACCAAACCTTTAATGGTTATTTACCTAGTTGCAAAGAACTAGAGTTCACAGCTGATTAAACCTTTGACTAATCAACATGGATGACAGAGATTGGGGTTGGAGAATCTTCCATTCCTCAACCCCAGGAATGAGAGCTCCAGACTGAAATGGTGAATACAGTGCAGGCTGTGGTATAGGTTTTGCCTGGCAATAGTCCTAATGGGTTAAATAAAATAGTGAGGTGGTCATGCAGTCAATGCTCACCAGGAGGTAGAAAAGTAAGTGAAGGGAAGAGGTCTATTTATAATGCTAGAATTAAAAAAAAAAAAAAAAAAAAAGATCCAGAAAACGTGAAAGGCAGCCATGGGGAACTAAAGAAATAGCAACCCAAAGCTCTTCAGAACCTGGTGGAGTTGTGTCCAGCAATGCTCAACAGAGTGTTATGCTAACAAGGAATTAGTTTTTCCTTTATTCCACAGAGTGTTGGCAGCCAGGGGTTCTAGGGAACCACATCAGGCTTGGTTAACACTGCAAATTTAAGAGGAATTTTCTAGGTTCTGACTGAGGGTTGTTAGAGTTTTGTTTCCATGGCTAAAAGCATGAACACTTGAGGAAGTGGACTTCTGTGTTGGCACTGCCACTTACTAGCTGTGTGACACTGAGAAGCTGCTTCACCTTTCTGTAACTCCATTTCCTGATCTGTAAAATGGGGATGATGACAGCAACAATGTCAATATCCAGCACAGATAGATAATTCATGTTCCAACTGTCAGCTATCACTAAGGTATTCACATTCTGAAAGGAGCAACTGTTTTGCAACCTGTGACACAATATCTGCAGAAGAGCTTGAACTCTCCAAGGGACCTATCTTTTCATTCATCCATAGATGTCAGGGAAGCAGTGGATATAGAAGTTGCCTTTTCTGTTAAAATAAAATAAAATAAAATTGAAGACTAGATAAATGCCTCCATTTCCATAACAATCGCCAGCAACTCTCATTGTGGTTTATCCATGATATGTCTGAGTTGATTGTTCAATATTGTCACTTAACGCTGCTTGATTACTGGCTTGTTTGAAAGCAAAACACACATTTGTTAGTGTTCTATCTCAAAGGACTTTTAAAAAAAAAAACACAAAAGTTGACAGGACTCCCTCTGCTGTGCAAAGGCAATTTCAGGAAAGGTGACTTTGTGTGGGTGAGCGTTTGGATTGATCTGAGAAGATGAGGCATTTAAACATAGCGTAAAAACAGGCCATGGAGAAGAGCAAGACGGGAGGCAAGATGTTCCCCAACTGGACGGATTCCCAACTCCCACTGAGTCAGATCGTCATTGCATGGCTTCATTTCTTTGTTTGAAGTAAATTCCCAGAACATCAGACACACCCATACTCACATGTAAGTAGAAAAACACTTTCTAAAGCCAAATAAATAAAAATGAAATGTGGATTGGCTTTTCTGTTACATGTCTATGCCTCCTCAGTCTACCTTAACTGAAAATTAACCTCACTGAAGTTCAGCTTTTGTGAACTTTAATCCTCCCCAAAACAGAGAGATAAATTGAGGCAAATTGAAGGGTCATGTTTAAGATTTGTCAAATTACAAGATAAGAATTTGTTACTTGAATGTCAAAACTCTAAGTGATAAATAATTGCCTTTTTTCAATAATCTGTAATGTATTGCTGTTCTGTGATTTTAGTACAGGCCTAAGAGGAAGTTACGTTGCACAAAGGGGTTACTTATTATAGAGAACACCCTAGCTCTGGCACTGGAAGACTGTGGCCTGCTTCCAGTTTCTGTAAGGACTTCAAACTAAGAATGGTTTTTACAATTATAAATACTGGGGGGGGGGGGTGGAGAATTAAAAGAATAATAATATTTGTGACATGAAAATTACATGAATTCACATTTCTATGTCTGTAAATCATGTGTGTTAGTATACAGGCCTATCCATCTTTTTTACTTATTGTCAATGAAAGCTTCATATTACACAAAGAATTCGATGACCTTCAATACCTCAGCAGAGACTGTGGTCCTCAAAGCCTAAAATATTTTGTATCTGGCCCTTTACAGAATTAAAAAAAAAAAAAAATCTGGCTAAACCATAAAATTCACTATTCTCCAAAAGTAATGCTCCTCTTTCCTTATTAATGATTTTCCAGTTAAGTCCAAGTCAACTGCATTTCTATGACTTAAAATCCTATCTTTCCTTCAATATTCCTTTTACTAACTCTTCCCTTGTCTAACATAAAAATATCAATAGTTTATTTCAAAAATAATAATAATTAAGAATAATACTCTTTAAAGGCACTATGTTTTTCAATCTAGATATTTTAGCATTTAGTTGCATGCCTTATTTCCTTTACTAAATTCTAAATATTAGTGGGTAGGGACTTACTGAATCTTATTAATATATATTTTTTTAATTTTTAATTTTTGTGTTTTGAGATGGGGTTTTCCTACGTTGCCTAGGCTGGTCTCGAACTCCAGGACTGAGGCAATCCACCCACCCCAGCCTCGAGTAGATGGGACTATAGGCATGTGTCATTATGCCTGACTCCCTCATTCATCTTTGAGTCCAACCAAGTGACTAACAGAAAGCTAGAATTCAGTACTAACACTAAGGGACGAATGCTTGTTGGAATTAAGGAAACAAGCATGTTTGGAAAATAAACGTGTTTGTCTTTTAAAGGTTTCTTCACCCTTTTCTTCAGTTTACTATCTTAATGAGCACCCCTATCACTGTCCGTCATCTGTCTCTCCCAAGTCCCAAGACCCTCTTGCTGTCCAGATACTGCAGCATTGCTCGGTTGGGTCCAAGTTGTCCTCTTGCTTCATAATCCCAGCTGTCAGAATGTTCCTTTGAAGTGTCTCGATCACTTGAAGAGCTCTGTGTGTTTTACTGTATTTCAAACCCTCCAGAATACATGGTATCGGAGGCAGAAGGAAAAGGGGGCGAAGAGCCAACTGAATATTCTTCCTCAAGGAGCAAGTTTCATAAGATTGAAATGAAAATTCCTGTTCGGCATTTTCCTAAGATGATTCACTGTACTTCAACAATTATTTAAATAAAATAATTGGTTGTATCATTTTGAAAGAATCTGACACATTGAATCATGCTAATAGGTGAAAAGCTGCATTATCTCTCCCAGAGAGGGGAAAATGGAAAGAACACCTTAAAAAACTTTCCTGGATGTTAACGTTATATAGGTTTATTGTAGATACTATAAATAAGAGTACAAAGAGGACAATAAAAAATAATCACAAGTCTCAATTTTCTTTAGTCAAATTATTTCCAGCCATTTTCTCTATGGTCTTAAGATAAACTTGAGATTCAGTCAAATTTACAATTTTGTATCTTGCTTTTTAACCTTAGTCAAGGAGTTCTGGTCTGAATGCAAAGGAATGCATTTCTAACCATTGAATTCCCAACATCCAGGAGATTTGAGTCAAGCAGGTCTTTTAGAGCATGTGTACTGGCTTTTTAGTAGTCCCCAATCACAGCCACGCTGACTTATCTGATCTACACTATGTTATGGGGATTACTTGAAACCATGCCTTGAGAGAGGTTTACTAACTATCATGTATCCACCAGATGTGACCCAACATTTGAAGGGCATCCCCAAGCATTAGGTAAATTCTAGTCTTCTGCAAGAAGTACTTATAAATTGAAAAGTTATCCTTCTCAAAGAAAAAAAAATGCTTTCCATGGGACTAGGAATTGCATCAAAGATAATTGATTTCATTTCAAAATATGCCTTAGTTTTAAAGACTAGTTTGCTCTTATTAATTCTGTCTTTTTCTATCCAAAGAGAGATTTTGAATAATTACTTGGATATTTTAAACCCCAAACTCCTAACTGGCTTCATTACCACATTGATTATTTTATTAGGAGATATTTGAAGGAGATTAATCTGCCTTTATCACTTCCTTACTTCTTCTTTCCTTTTCATATGAGGTATAATCCTTTTCTTCCCAACTTGTGCTCTTTCAAACCTCAGGAATGAATTATAAAAATGAATACCCTTATTGCCTTATTCTCTTCCAAGACAGCTTTTTCTAATGCTTTTCTTCCCCCTAAAATAAGAATTAAAAGTGATATTTCTTTTGACAGCTGGTAACTAATCCCACCTTAGCAGGAAGGAGAACAGGAAGCCAGCAAAGGAATTTTCCATTCCTGTCTCTTTTAATTTTTCCCCACATCAGGTATTTTTCAAAATCTAGACACTTCCAATGAGTCTGTATATCTTCTTGTTTTGTCTACCAGAGTCACGTGTTCTTTAACTTCTCCTGTGCTGATGAGAAACCTGACTGAGTTTATGTTTGTATTTGGAGGAGGGAGAACTTGAGAACTTTTGAATCTCCAAAGGGAATATAATTGAAATGTGATGCCTTTGCTTGTGCAAACGGGCTTTTTTCCTTTTGTAAAGATAAAGTTCACAGAGCTAGCCCATCAAACCACAAATCAGAATGTCTCATGTCGTAACAGAGCTATGACTTTGATTCCT